CACCTGGGTGCTTTTGCTCCTCATCCACGTAGCTACTGCCTGTCAGAGGAAGCAGGCACGTAACAACAACAGTCAAAACAACAGCGCTGCGTTACCACGAGTCTGTCACAGAAGGAATCACCATCTCGAGTATCATAGACCAATCGCAATGGAAGCCACACCGACCATCAACAGATGTAACATGTGAGCAGGAAGTCAGAATACTGGGAGAGCGGCGAAGGAAGGAATGTGGGGTTGGAGGGAGGGTCCACCATCGATCCAAGAGATCCTCGCGGACCTCCGACAACTTATGATGCCTACGCATGCCATTATTCTGTTCTTCGAGGGAGTGGTGTGGGAGAGAAGGAGGGAGGGAAAGGAAACAACGCGAGGAGACATCCCCATCTGGTGGCGAGGACGGCGCCAGCGACGACTGCCACGGCGACGAGGGCGGCGACGGGCAGGGAGGGGGCGCCGCCGACGACGACCATGACGAGAGCGACGGCGGCGCTGAGCGCGTCAAGAATGTTGAGACGAAAGACGAGAATGATGAGAAATCTGGAGGGAGGTAGGCCGGGAATCCTGACGGCATGCTCAAGATGGTTACACCTTCTCCTTCAATTCATATGCAGTCTGTATGGCGCCGAACAGTGACACGCTATCCCCACCAAGCTGCTACTCGCCTGCACCGCTCGTCGCCACTCCCCCGGGCCAGGTTCCTTACGCCAGGCCCAATCAGAAAACGCGTGCTGCGTTTTCTGACTGGGCCTCTCGGCCTTGAACAGCTTCTGAGCTAGCTTGGATAATGAATGATCGCGCTCCTCATTTTGGTCCAGAGCTTCATTCCAGGACTTGTGAAAAGCAGTCGGCAGTTGAACTCGTACTGCGAGCCAGCTGGTGTTCACCTCAGCCTTTCTCGACTGCTACGCCGAGGATTTCTCTACTCTTTCGGATAATTGTGGGGGCGGGTGCTCGGCTCAGTGCGATGTTACACAACTCTCCAATCATCTCGAGCTCGCGTGCACGCTATACTTATGTAGCACTGTGAGCACGTGACGCGCATAGTAGACGAGCGAAAATACCGTGCCCTAGCTTCCACAACGCATGTATGATACTCGTAAGTTCTGCAGGTTGGGAGGGTTGAGCCTCATAGTTTCGCCCTCCCTTTTGTGGACTTTCGGTGGATTGAGACGGCCTAGGGCCGACGAGGGGCCCAAAACCTGATAAGCCCCGACGGGTTCCCTCAGGCGCCCTACCGCCTCGCCCTGAACAATACCAATAACAATTTCAGGACGCTGACAAGCGCCCGACGTTCCCGGGACCGTGCTTACCGCGCTGACGCCGAACTCCTGCCGAGGTCGCTCGCTCGCTCGCTCCTCCGCGGCGGCGGCGACCGAGGCCACGACGACGGCTACCACGACAACGGCTGCGACGGCAGTGGCGGCGACCGCGATTGCGATGTCGGTGGCGATTGCGACGGCGGCGCCGCGCGCCGCGCTATGTCCTTCAACCGCGGACCCCCTGTTTGCCATTCGGAAACGACTTGCAGCCCCGAAGGGCTTGAAGGAGGATGCAATGGCCTCCTCCTCCTCCTCCTCCTCCTTCCTTTCCTCCTGCTCCGCCTCCCTTTCCTCCTACTCCTGGCTCCATCCTCCTGCAACGGCGGCTCTTCTGGGAAGAGGATCCCATGCGCCTCGCTGCTTCTGGCCTCTCGGTCGCGTCTGCCTTTCAGTGGGCGGCGCGCGCGCTGTTCCCCTTCCCGAGCAGACTGCGTCGAGCACGCGGGGGAAGGTTTTGGTTGGAGGAAGATTGTGCGATACTCTGTTGCAGGTCAAGCTTGTGGCCTCTTATCTACCGCCTCCCCCCGCCCCTCGCTCCCCCCGCATCGGAGCAGCGTCGGGAGCGAAGAAGGATCGGGAGACAGGTACGGAGGATGAGGCAGAATGAAGGGAGGTTGTTGATTGCAGGAGATGGAAGGCGATTGATGAAGGGGCGGATAAGAGGAGAGGGAGGAAGGGAGTCCAAGGAAGGAGGGCTGCTTCTCCTGCTCCTTATCCTCAACTCTTTCTCCACCTCCTAATGCTCCTCCCCTTCCTACTCCATCCCCCACCTCCTTCCCCTCCTCCTGCTCCAACCATCCATCCTCTTCCAAGACTGACCGTGCAACCGTCTGGGGAACATGGCATGCAAAGCGAGGACAGATGCCGGACCCCGCCTGGACCTCATCCCTGCCTCAATCTCCGTGAGGGGACGGGGGGAGAGAAAGAGGAATAACGGATGACGGATGCTGGCCCCTGACCGAACTTATTCACTCTTTCTCGTCCCAATCTCCTCCCTCCCTCCCTCCTTACCTCCTCGCTCCCCCATTCCCCCTTCTTTCCGTATGTTCTTCTCTTCCTCACCTCTCTCTTCCTGCTCGCCTCGCTCACCCGTCCCTCCCCGCCGCCCTTTACCTCTTCCATCTTCTCCTGCATCCTCTTTCTTTTGCTTTTCAATTCCAAGTCCCTAGATAGAGACTGCATGCTTGTCGGTCTTCTTTCTTCCCCCTCCTCTTCCTCTTCCTCTTCCTCTTCTTCTTCTTCTTCTTCTTCTTCTTCTTATCTTCTTCATCGATCACTTCTCGCTTCATAGCTTCTGCCTCCCTCCTTCCCTCCACACCTCCTCCGTCCATCCCTTATCCCTCCCTCTCATGCTCCCTTTCTCCTTCCTCTTTCCCTCCATTCACTCCTCCCTCCCTTCCTCCTTTTTCCTCCCTCCCTTCCGCCTCTCATCGCAAGCATTCACGCACCCCGCGGTTTGCAGACTGCCCACATTCTTCGCCAAACGAAAGCGACGATACAATCGACGAGCAGTCGGACAGCCCAACCATCAAGGGAACACGCCCCTAAACATACGATATCGTGTACGCAAATAAGGCAAACCTCTTCTCGTGCCTCCAAAAGATTATGCTCAATATTTGGTGCACATTAGTGGTGAACTGGTACGCAAACTTTCCGGCTTCCGGTCAATGACAAACGAACGTGTGCTATCGACTTGATTGTATACTCCTGGAAACAACTGCTCAGACATTGCCGTTTCGGAATCGGTTCTTGTCCTCCGTGAAGTCATCGCTTTGCCAGAGGTGCTCGTCCTCCGAAACCTTGCGGTCTCCATTGGCGAACCGCCAACAATGCCCCCATTTTTTCTTGTGGCCGGCGTGGACAAGAAGAGGCGCCACGTGGCATGGAATCTTTGCGGATTCTTCTGCCCCCTGGGGCCCACCGAAGGCCCCCCGACAAGTTGAGACCCTCAAGTAGGCACCCCGTGCGCCTCACCCGGGAGTCGAACATGCTGTGTTCCAGAAAAGATAAGGGGGTAGCGGCTCCGCCCGCTGGCTCATGTATATCATCAAAACGACCAAGTTCAACTCGTGTCCGCCTCAATGCATCGACCTTGCCTCTCTCGTGCTCCCTCCTCCTGTAACGTCGTTGCACCACCCGACAACCAAAGACTCGATTGATTCCATCGCGAACGTCCGTCACGTTTGCTGCCGTGTCGCCGACGGACTCGACACGGCCCATCTCCCGTGAACCGACCAGGCCTAGGGGAAACCCTGCTGGCCAACGTGTGGCGTCATCCCTTGCGCCGCAAGGCGCGCTCTTTACGCGCCTTGCGGGCTTGTTTGCTGATCGCGCTCTGGCGCCCCAGATCCTTTTCACGTGCGCGTGATCAACTCTGGGGCGATCATGGGGTTGCCCTGGCTCTGGTCGGTCCCGGGAAGCAAGGTCTGTTCCTCTGCGTCGAAGCCCGTCTTGCTGCTCATGGAAGCACCCTCCTGATGTGTCTGCTCATCGGCAATACTGATTGGAAGATGTGCTCGGTAGACCACGTTGAGCTGGTCGTGCTCGCATGACGCCGCAAAAGGCCGCATCGCTGTCTCGTGAATGGCAGCGCTTATTGGCATCCGTGTGCTTGGTCGTCGCCTTCCGCCTCTCGTGGTAGGCCAACGGAATTCCACGCACCGCGCGGTGGTCTTCGGGCCTTGGATGTGAGCCCCCCAGTCGGAAAACTTCGCCTGGTCCATCTTGGCAACAGCGTCGGCGAAATCATGCTTCCTCTGGCACCCCACGAAGTCGATTGGCAACGCGCGGGCGTCGCTGTCACCCTCCTCGTCGATATTGTACTTCCTCTCGAAAACGGCGCATGTTCACCGTTCGGTCGGCCTGGTCAGCACCGTGGTTCCGAGGTTTACCTGCTCGCCCTTTTTGGTGCCTTGCCCGCTCTCGATGGCGTACCAGTGCGCCCGAGCGCCAACGCCTTGAGTGCCGCCCCGAGCCTCCTCTGACTGCTCAAAATTGCGCGCCTCCTCCTTAAGGGCCGCCAAGCGGCCGCCTGCCGGGTCCTCTCTGAGCCTGCATGCTTCGCCCGGATCAATCCCGCCTGGCGGGCCTCCTCGAGTATCACCCGACCGAAACCCGTCGATACCATCATTCTGGCGACTGAAACCCATAAGGTGGACGTCGCTATCTGGCGTGGCGATGATAAGCTCAATTCCCGAATTGCCCGCGTTTTCCGATCAAGTCTTTCATGCCAGACGGGATGGTCGTCGTACTTCACGGAACCCCTCTTGCCCGTCTCCATGACTCTTCAAAACTGGTGACTGGTGATTGTCCGTCCTAAGTGGTTCAGCCTTCTCGGCTGACGCGGTTAACCGCTGCTGAGGTCGGGAACACGTCCGCCCGAAGCGTGGCCCGCAGTACATGCGCCACTGCCGATGCTCTGGGACCGCAGGCACACCCCGAGCAGAGGACGAACGGGAGAACTATCACAACATTGATGAACACCAGGAAGCTCTCAGTGGTGCAGGCACCTGAGATGCACGAAGTCCACCCGAAGCAGTATAATGTCGTCTCGAGAGCTTCTCGTTGACGGGAACCGGCGTATGTGAGGGCGGGCGGCCAGCACGAGCTCATGATGCACGCAGTGCCTCTTGAACCACACAGCCACGGAGGAATGCGGGAGGTCGCACCGCTCCATCACAAGCCCAGAAGAAAGACATGCAACCATCATTCATGTTACGAGCATCCCACGACTACACAGCAAACGCTCGACGTTCACTCCATCACACATTCCAAGCGTTACAACCTCTCGCTGGCCTGGCAATGCCCGAAACGCATCCAGAAAAGTTTGAGTGGGGATCGCTTGAAGCAAATTCATTTCTAGTGCCGACAACGCAGATCTGGACGTCCGTGACCAAATATGCCCAGAGTTCACATAACACAAAACCTAGCAATAACGGACTGGATGAAACAAGATAGCGCGCGAACAGGCCAGACCAGACTTAATCACGCGAAGCCAGATCAGAGTGTGCACGGTCATAATAGCGCAGACCATATCAGGGGGGTCTGGGGGCTCAGTACTGGTCACTGGATGGGCTGGAAGGGATTCGCGGAACGTGCACCTTTCAGACTCATGACGCTGAAGCGGAACAATAACTGGGGCGAGCTGGGCTGTGCCACGACCAAGAAACTCCCTTCGTCCGCACCCTCCACCTCACTGCTTTCCTCTTCATCGCGGGCCTGCTTCGGCTAATCGCCTCGCGTCCTCGGATGCACAGAACGCAAGTGATTCAGCTGGGGTGCGGGTTCGAGGAATGATGATGGGGCTGAGGGTGGAAGGGGAGACACATGCACAGACAGGGTGAGAGAGAGAGAGAGAGAACGATCTATACACTTACATGTGTATATCATGTTCAATTTCCATATCGGTATGGAGAGAGAGAGAGGTATTTGCAAGAAACGGACAGGCAACGAGACAGAGAGGAGAGAGGGAGACAGACAGAACGAGAGAGAGAGAGAGAGAGAGAGAGAGAGAAAGAGAGAGAAGGAGGAACAGGGAGAGAAGGAGAGAGATACACAGACATGTAACACATTCTATATCCGCTGGTTCCCCGCCGTGAATGTGTCCAGAAAACTTGTCTCGAAATCGCGCTGTGCCCTTCCAAGTAACTCTCTCCCAGGGGGTGGGGGGGTGGGGGGGTGGAGGGGGCAAGGCACGAACCATACCAGGGAGGCATGCGAGAGATAGACTCGACAACCCCTTCTTCTTCTTCTTCTCGCCATCCTCCTTCTTTCGCCTCCGCCTCTTCCGCCCCCGCTTACTCCTCCCCCCCATCACTGTTCCCTGCAACCCCTCCTAATCGTCCTGTCGTCAACCACAGGATCTGTACGCAAGATCAGGGGCACCACCCTTGGACACCCAGGTCGATATTGAAAAAAATGGTTAATGATGGAATATGCATCCTGACGACGGTATTGAACACAGGGGTGCTAACTAATCTGGATGACGCTATGCATCATTACGACGGTGTTTGACTGTACTCCTCCTCCCCCTCCTTCCCCTCCTCCTCCTCCTCCTCCTCCTCCTCCTCCTCCTCCTCCCCCAGCCCTCCATCCTCTCATCAACCACCCCGCTCCCCCTCCCATGCCTCCTATCATGTTCCCCTTTTCTCGTCTACCTCCTCCAGTATTTCTCCTCGACCTCTTCGTTCTCCTCGTGGAGGGGAGAAGGAGGGGGATATTGACCGGACATGAGCAGTGGGGAGAAGCAGAAGAAGTTGACGAGCAGGAGAAAAAGGGAGTGGAGAAGGAGAAGGAGGCGGAGGGTGAGGAGCAGGATGATGATAATGATGATGATGATGATGATGATGATGATGATGATGATGATGATGATGATGATGATGATGGCTGCACATATGAGCGAGGCTGATGCTTGAAGCCACTGCCCCTGAGGCGAGGGGGGGGCACCGTCGCAACCAACTCTGCCCTGCCTGCAACCCGTCTCCTTCTCCCTCCTCGTCGCCCTCGTCTCTTTATCCCGCCTCCTCCTCCTCCTCCTCCGACTCCCTCCCTTCCCCTCCCTCCTCCTTTCCTCCTCCGCCCTCCTCCTCCTCTTCCCCCTCTTGCCCCTCCTCCTCGTCCTCCATCCCCTTTCTTCCTAAGACTCCTCCCTGTCGCGCTCCCAAACGTGCTTGTAGGACGGGCCGGGCATTTCGCCTGAGACTTTCTCACCATTTCTATTTATAACCCTGGAACTTGAATTTTGCAAGAGCTTTACGGGTGGATCGCCAGACATTTTCAACATGTGGCTCTCACCTAAGCGCCGGGCGCATTCGTCTTAAACGCCTGCATCTGTTTCACAGATGGGGGGCGGGCCGTTTTCAAACTTTGGCGCTCGCCTTAGCGCCGCGCACATTCGTCTTAAGTCGTTTGCAACAATTTCACGGATGAAGGGCGAGCCGCTTTCAAATTTGGCTCTCGCCTCGGCGCAGTGCGCATCCGATTCCAAACTTGCAAGGATGCAATTTTCAAAATGTGGCACTCGTCTTGGCACAGCGCACATTCGTCTTACAAGTTTTCAGCCGTTTCACTGTTGGAAGGCGGTTCCTTTTCAAAATGTGACTCTCGCTTTAGTGCTGCGCACAGTCGTTTCAAAATGCGCAACTGTTACAGATGGAGGGCATGCAATTTTCAAAATGTGGCTCTCGCCTTAGCGCCGCGTGCATAACTTTTAAGAGCTGGTAACACATTCCAGGACTCGCATGGTTGGAATCCCAAATTGCGTGGCACTGTTTATGATTGTCTGGGCGCAACAGTCAAGTTGACTCGCGGAGTTGGCCTCCAAAGAACAGGGTTCTGGCACGACTTCGGATTGTCAAGGCGCAACGGTCACGTTGTTTTGCTGCGCCGCAGTCCCAAGAATGGTGTTCGGCACGGTTGAGGATTCTCAGACGATTGTCTTTCAATGGGGCACATCGTGCAATGAAACCTAAGTCTTGTAGGGACCGGTGACTGGGGGACCTTGAGGGAGGGTTTATTGCAGCACCGTTGATGCGCCTTGGGGTTTGCACAGGTCCTCCTCCAGGAGAGCCAGCAGAACCATGGAAGTCCGTAGACCTCCGGTGTGCAACTACGGCTGAGGGAAAAGGGGAATACCCACACACGTTAAGGGATCGCTCCCCCTCCTCTTCCTCCTCCCTGCGGCCTGCCTCCTACCCTCTTCCCTCCTCCTCGCCTCCCCCTCACCATCTCCCCTTCCTCTCCCATCGCCTCCCTCCTCCTCGCCTCCTCCCCTCCTCCTCGCCTCCCCCTCCCTCTTCCCTCCCCCTCACCTTTCCCTCCCCATCTCCCCTTCCCCTCCCTCCTCCGCCCCCGCGTTCGCAAGAGGACCGCGGCGGTCCTCTGCGAGCACCGACGCGATGCGACGGCTGAGCTGTGCCTGCCCGCAACCACGTCTGGGAGGCTCTGACGGCGCAGAGGGCTGGAGGAGGGCAGAAGCGGGAGGGTAGAGGGATGGCGGAGGAAGGAATGGAAGAAGGGGGGGGGAGAGGAGGGATGGAAGGGGGGGGGAGGAATCGAGGAGGGAAGGCGGGGGGGAGGGGGGGCGGGGAGGGGGGGACGAAGAAGAAATGGATGGGAGAGACGGGGTGGCAGCAAAGAGAAGAACTTGGAGGGAGGGAGCGCCGGGGAAGGAGGGTTGACGGGAGGAAGGGTGAGGAGACATGGGAAAGAGGTATAATCTGACGCAGAGGTACATTATCGAGGCACACGAGCTGGGATGGATGAGGGGGCAGGAGGGGTAGGATGGAAGGGAAGAGGAGGATGTGAGGAGCAAAGAAGGGGTGGAGAAACAGAGAAACTAGAGGGAAGGAAGAGGGGAGATGATGGGGGTTGGGGGGATTGGGAGAGGGGGAGCGAAGGACCGGGAGGAAGGACGTGGAAGGGGAAGGACGGGGAAGATGATGGATGAGGAACACTGGAGGAGATCGGAGGGGACAGTGCAGGGATGATGTTGGATGGACGGGAATTGAAGGAGAGTGAAGGGAGAGGGGAGAAAGTGTGCAATGGAAGATGACCAGAGGGGCTGAGGGTTGGCGAGTTAGAGTGGCGGGAAGGGGAGGAGAAATTGAAGGGAGAGAAGGAAGGCAAGATGGGGATGGGGCCGAGCATGGCCTCGAGATGCTCTCGGGACCCCGCCTGCACTGCTAGCCTGAACGTGTGGACGGCCCGGAGTCCAAAGAGCGCTGTCGTACATGGCGCTCGCAATCGGCCGACGCGCTATGGTCTTGGCCTGGGAGATGCAATTCGCGTGCGGGCTGGTGACGAGTCAGCGAATGGTCCCCGAATTGGCTTCTGCCTTGAAGCTGCGATAGCTCCGCGCACGTGCCCGCGAAGCCTGCCGATCGAGCAGGGTCTCAAGAGCTTCCACCTTCCCCACGAGCGGTATTGTCCAATCACTCGTCTCGTCATGCAGGCCCATCTGGCTGAATCCCGGGATATCGACGTGGTTGGGGCAATCGCCAAAGTCCGCGCCCAGCAGTATCTTGCATCTGGCTGTCTTCAACTGCGGGCCCGCCATTGCCAACGCCCTCGACAACTTGTTAACATCATGTGCGTCAGTTGTCCAATCGAAGTCTCCACCAGAAACAAATTGTCCGCCCAAATCAAGTCCAGAGGTTGAACAGGACGTCGTCGAGACAGAAACCTACGGCGCCCTGCTTCCAGTCGCGGAGCAGCAGGACTAGCACGTAGTCTTTGAAGAGGAACGGCGCCCCCACCCGACTTTGGCGATCCCCTCGGGCGTAGTTGAAGATTTTGGAGACCCCCACGCCCTCGATTTCGATGCTCGCTCGCAGTTGCCGCAACTCCCGCATAATCGCGGCGATGTTTTCGTCGGATATCCCCTTGGCCCGAAAAACTATGGGAAGTGGGTTGTGTCGCATGGAGTCGTTCGCGTGCCAGATGTCGAGGGAGGCGATGACGATCGGGTGTTTCTGTTTTTTTTCGCAGACCCTGAGCAACTTAGAAACTATCTATGAGGAACAGGGTGCAACGACCAATTCGGAATCCTAACATCTGCTGATGCCATGCTTCCCTGCTTGTGCTGCCGACCCGTCGTCCCCAACATGCCGCCTCAATGCAATGCCGCGGACGCCCCGATGGCCAAGTGCAGCCCACCGTGACGTACGTGATGGGATCATCCT